TCTTCGACTTTTCATCCTCAAACTGATAGCAAAATGGAATGGATGAACCAAATCTTGAAACAATACTTACGATGCAGCATCAACTATCAGCAAGACGATTGGACCACATATCTGTCGCTAGCCAAATTTGTATATAACAATACCCTCCATGTGTCGACTCAATACACACCATTCTTTTCCAACTATGGGTACCATCCGAAACTTGATTTATTGAGTTTGTCAACAAATAACAATCGAGCAGCTGAAGGATTTGCGAAACAACTATCAGAGCTTCAAAATATGTTGAAGCTTCAATTTCAATCCGCTCAAGAATCCTACAAGGCGTCTACAGATAGATTTTGGAATCAAGCACCTACTTTCAAAATTGGACATAAAGCATGGCTCCTTCGACAGAATATCAAGACCAAGCGACTATGTGATAAGTTGGACTATCGAAGATTGGGACCATTTATCATCCAGAAGCAAATCAATCCAGTGGCGTACCGTCTGGAATTACCGGCTTCTATAAAGGTACATCCAGTCTTTCATGTTTCTCTGTTGGAGCCTTATCAAGAGTCGTCTTTTCCTGGAAGAGTGCAGTGTTCGCTACGTAGTATTGAAATCGAGAACCACGAGGAATACGAGGTTGAAAAAGTACTGGATTCACGACGAAGGTGGGGCAAGTTGGAGTATCTTGTTCATTGCTGCGACTACGACATTAATGAGCAAACATGGGAGCCAGCTGAAAATCTTGCCAATGCGCCACAAAAGGTATAGAAGTTTCATCAACAACATCCTCATAAACCTAAGCCGATTTGCTGATAGCTTCCTTCTAAAGCTTGTTCATCCAAGAATATAAGAAAGGGGGAGAGCACCATCAAAATTCGTAGTTGATGTAGTTATTTTCTCCAAGATAAAGTAGAATTTTTTCAGTAGCCATAGTTTGGTCTTCTGATATGGATAGCCAAGAGATAGATACTATGCTAGTCAGATTATCTCAACCGACTAGCTCACGAAGGTGACCTCGAGATGAAGAACCTCCTACACCACAACGATGACAGAGGATATCGAGTAACAGATCACTGGTGATTGTATTCGAGTTCGAGCTAGCTTACAATAGTCAGCCAGAAGGCGTATTTGCAAGACAATTTTACAATGAGGACACGGAAGTTCATGCTTGGTCAGAAGTTGAAAGAGTGGGCCACTACCATTGGCTTCAAGGACCGATGAATCACTTGCCTCGTGAACAACAGTTGGAGTTTGTAGCAAACGTTATGCGACAGATCTTCATTTTCTTGCGTTGGTACTGATTAACAACAACATTGCTTCTCAGAGACCTCGAAGCTAAAGGAGGGGGTGATGTTAGGGACATAGTCCTTAGAACCTTCTAGAGACAAGTTTTTAAAACCTTCTAGAGACAAGTTTCTAGAACCTTCTAGAAGCAAGTCTCTAGAACCTTTTAGAAACTTCTTAGTTGGTAGAAGATGTTAGGGACATAGTCCTTAGAACCTTCTAGAGATAAGTTTCTAGAACCTTCTAGAAGCAAGTCTCTGGAACCTTTTAGAAGCTTCTTAGTTGGTAGAAGTTGCTTGAGAAGCTTCCTAAATAGGAGTATATATTGGAATCAAGGCTGAAGAGTTCTTCAGTCTCGACAACACATCTCTTGGAGCTCTAGCTCACCTCTCTGGTGTTGTTCTTGTATTCATCTGATTAATCTAGTTCTTGCCAGTTCTTCTTAAACTTCTTGTTAGATCTCAAGTATGTATTTCTGTGTCCGTGACAGCAGTAATAGATTTGGAGATGCATCAAATGGATGTGAAGACGGCTTTCTTGAATGGAAGTTTGAAAGAAGACATCTACATGGATCAATCTCAAGGATTTGTTGAAGAAGGCAAACAACACCTTATTTGTAAGTTGAAGAAATCCTTGTATAGGCTAAAGCAATCACCAAGGGTATGGTACCAACGCATTGATACATTCTTTGTGAGTGAAGGATTTGTAAGGAGTGAGGTTGATCATTCCTTATATGTGATGCAATCAAATGAGTTCATATTGATTATCATTCTCTATATTGATGATTTGATCAACTTAACCAATACATTGAAGACGATGAATTGGTTGAAGACAAAGTTAGAAAAGGAGTATGAAATGAGTGATTTGGAAGAGCTTCACTATTGTTTAGGAGTGGAGTTTGTAAGAGATCGTGCTAAGAAGACCATTACAAAGAGCCAAAGAAAGTACATTGAAGAAGTATTGAAACAATTCAATATAGAGGAGTTTAAGCCTATTGGAACACCATTGGAGGCAAACTTGAAGTTGATGAAGCTCACGGATGAAGAGTTTGCTGAAGTTGAAGGTCAAATGCAAGGTGTTCCATACAGAGCAGCAATAGGCTCGCTTATATATGCAATGGTTGGCACAAGGGTGGATCTTGCATATGCGGTGAGTGTTGTCAGTCAACACATGTCAAGGGCTGGATCAATCCATTGGACAACCATCAAAAGGATCATGAGGTACTTAAAAGACACTTTGAACTTCAAATTATGCCTTGGAGGTGATAACATTAGTTTGCATGGTTATTGTGATGTGGATTGGGCTGGAGATACAAATGATAGAAGGTCAACAATAGATTATCTATTCTTTATTGGAGTGGGAGCAATTTCATGGAATTGCAAGAAACAACCAACAATTGCAAGGTCAACAATGGAGGCAGAGTATATGGCAACAAGCCATGGTGCAATGGAGGCAATATGGTTAAGACAACTTTTGGAGGACATTGGAGATGTGCAAATAGAAGCAACTCGAATGAAGTATGACAATCAAGGATGTCTTGCATTTACAAAGAATCCAAAGCATCATTCAAGAATCAAGCACATTCATATTCAATATCACTTTATAAGAGAGAAGATTGAAATGAGAGTGATTGATATGAAGTATTGTGAAATGGAAGACATGCTTGCTGATTTGTTGACAAAGGCATTAGTAAAGGATTGACACCATATGTTAACAAAGGCATTAGGCTTAAAAAGTATTTGACCAATAGCAAAGTGGGAGTATTAAAATAAAAGTAGAAAATGTTACCTTGTATAGGATATTATCTTAGGTAAGTTGCTAGTGGTCAAAGGTTTAACTCTTGGTATATGGTAAAGGCATCCAATGGATATAGGACGAAGTCATGGACCAAGAGTCAAAGTCAAAAGGATAAAGTATTAACAAGAGAATATTCTAAGACTAAGTATGAGTCATTAGTGTGTGTCATAGGATATCCTCATAGTTCGTGAGATGCCAAAGGATCCTAAAAGCATGTGTGTAAGATGTAAGAGTAATTAGTATTGGACATAGGATACTTTTGAAACTCATGAGATGCCAAAAGGATCCTAGGGCCATGTGTGTAAAAGTCAAAGAGTGGACGTTGTCTTTTAGGGCAGCAACTACCACCTATAAGTAATGGGTGTTGGAAGTGAGAGATATCTTATTCCATACTCTCTTTGTGTGCAACCTTGCTGATGCTAAGTGTTGTGTCTTCTAAGTACTTGTTTTCTTAATAAAAGATTGTCATATATGTTGCATTATTAAAAATTACTGCATTACTACTTGAGGGAGGAAAAACCGCCCATTCTATATAGAAGATTTTACTAGATTGTAACAAAGATTCTTTTTATTCATTTATTAAGAATTTTGACCATGGTGAGTTTATTTGCCAAACTTTGCTTATTATTTGAGATGAACTTCCAATATAACATCATTATTATCTTGAGGTAATTAATCATTCCATTAGAGATATTTGAAATAGTGATTACCCATTTGGAAGAGCTACAATAGTTTTTGGTGGAGATTTTTGCCAAATATTGCCAGTGATTGTGAAAGGAACTTAAGAAAAAATTGTAGTAGCAGCTTTTTGATGTTCAACACTTTGGCCTCAAATAAAAATCGATGAATTAAAAGAAAACATGAGGTTGAATTCAAGAGTACTTCAAGCACATCTTAAGTTTGCTAATTGGCTTCTTTACGTATTGAATGCATACACATATTGTATATATAAATGGTAGTGCATTTGAATTCTTTATCATTGTATTATTATTGCCTAATAATATAGTTATACTTCCTAATCACATGATTGTTGATCAACAATTAATGTCTTTAGTTGATGTTGGTTATCCAAGGCTAGCAAAAGATGGTGCAGCAAATGATGCCTTCTTAAAAAATAGAATCATTTTATCTACACGGAATGATGATGTAGAGGATATTAATGAGAAGATTATGGCTATATTTTCCAAAGAAGAACAAGAATATCTAAGTGCCAATGATGTTGTTATTAAAGATGGTATTGACAATAATTAGGTTTATCCAATTCAATTCATCAAGTTGCTTAATTCATTTGGAATGCCCAAATGAAGGCTTTGCCTTAAGATTAAGACTTCAGTGATGCTACTAAGAAATATTGCTCCTCACTAGGGACTTTGTAATGGAACCCGATTGATAATTACATAACTAATAGATTGAGTTCTTGAAGCAAGAATTCTTAAAGAAAAATTTGTTAGAAACTTGGTGTTCATTCTATGGATTACATTAACTTCTACAACAAAAACAACTTTCGTTCATTCTATAGAGAAAGCAATTTGCACATTTGCAATTTCCAATTTATTTACTCAAGGAGTTCCTTGTACAAAATTAACTACTTTTTTTGCATATTATCTATGACAATAGCACGGATTTACTTATCCTACTTTATACTTCAAAGCTCTATTGTGTATTTTATTTGTTTCTATTTACATTGTATTATATTTGTATTTGAAAAATGTTCTTTGGTTCAAAAGATACTAAATTTGATTCACACTTTCTATGACAACAACACAAGTTTATCCAATCTATATATTAAGATCACTAAATGAGACAAGTAGTGGCTCTCATTCATGTGAGAAGTTAGAATTACAGCTCAGAATGTGGTGCAGTCGATGGAGTGGGGACAGAGCACTATTTACCAACAAATCCAGTCTCAGCCAACGAAGAATGCTGAGCATGTCTCAATGTTTCCATTCCTGTTGCTGCACAGATGTCCCAGCCATTCCTGGGATGTTCCATTACCAGGACACATTTATGACCCCATCACGTCGCCGGTGCTGCAGGATCATCGCGGTCGTAAGACACGTTGCTTAATTGGAGCATGCAAAGCTGGGCGGTAGGCTGGAACTGAGCTCAAGCAATGTTCAGGGTTTGGAGTGGTGAATTTGCGCATCAAACTGGGATTGTCCATTGTGATCCGTTTTTCAGTGACTGCAGGATGCTTGCATGGAAACAATGAAGCTGGCGATCAAAATCAGAGATATCGCCGACTCTAGCAATTGTGTTGGAGGCCATTGGCATCCCTCTACCATTACCCTGCCTTTACAAGGATATCCGAGGCTGTTGCTGGTTATGGCTGATGTCATATGACCACGTTGCAGCTTCTTGTACGTACGGTGATGAACCTGGCAACGTTTCAGGAGTTGCGAATTCCGGACTGCACTTCGTTGGCATTGAGAGTATACCGGATATATAGAATCTTCATAAGAGTATCCTGAGGGATGAAAAAGTCGATTGTCAGTGGCATGGTATGGGTATTCATTGAGAAGAAAAAAGATTATGCCGATTTTATCAGGGTTTAGGGCTTTGATTCCGTGGTGTGATTTTTGGTGTGCGTTGGAATCACAGATTTCGAAGAGAAACAGGAGGAGATTGCAGCTACGATTACACGAGCATGTGGGGTAGGAAGAGATTTTCCCGAAGCGCTAATGGAGGCTTCCCATTACTTCAATGGTTGGGATAAATGCTGTGTGTTAACTTCGTGGGTTGGTACATAACAGCAGGTATTGATTCGTATACCCAATTGTAAGTGTAGGATTCAATTTGATTCTGTTAAAGTGATCATCGTAGCTTCGAATGAATCGAAGATAGCTAATGCAACGAAGGGTCTTCTGCTGGAAGGGTGCATTCGGGATGGTTTAGGGTTTAGTAGGTTGTTCCATTCTGAATTCTCGGGGTTGTAGTTTTGCATCAATAACGACAGTGCTGTAAGAGAGTTTCGATGGAGAAAAAGGATCTCCACGTTCGGCACTTCAACAACTTGCCCTCGCCTGCTGAGTTCGCGACAATAGAAGATGGCAACGTGCCTGCTGTTTTTAAAGGATGCATAAGGAGCTGGCCTGCTTACAACCTCTGGAATCCTTGCAAAGGAGGTTTACAGCGCCTGAAGCATTTGGCAGGGCCTGCCACAGTACAAGTGATGGCAACAACCTCTGGATCGAATTTCTACGGAGACATCCGCGGCCACGAAAGAATACCGATTTCCTTTGAGTCATTTCTTGACCTAGCAGATCGCTCCTCCAGGAACGCCGGGGTAAGCCCCTCTTCAATTGAGATGCCGGAAGAGTTTGCTTTTATGGAATTGCGGGATCTGCAATTTTATCTTGCTCAAGCTGGAATCTACAGCGAAGAGATTACAGCGACTTCCGATCCGCTGAGTCCTTTGAGAGAAGACATAGATACCCCCAGTTTTTTGCAATCATCGGTGTCTGCCATAAATTTCTGGATGAGTGTGAACGGCTCCAGTTCGAGCACGCACTATGATCCTTATCATAATCTTCTGTGCATAGTATCCGGGTGCAAGGAAGTAAAGTTTTGGCCACCATCAGCTGCTCCTTCTCTTTATCCCTTGCCAATCTTTGGAGAAGCTTCGAATCATAGTAGCGTGGATTTCGTCAACCCTGATTTTGCCAAGTACCCTAGGTTCCTTGCAGCAATGCAGAATTACCAGAGCGTTATCCTTCGTGCTGGCGATGCACTGTTCTTACCTGAAGGTTGGTATCATCAAGTGAACAGCGATGCTGTAACTATTGCAATCAATTTTTGGTGGCCATCTAAGATATCTCTGAAACTCGGAACTCACATGGACGCCTACCTGCTTCGGCGTCTGCTTGCCAATCTCCTTGACTGCGAAAAAGAACAAATAGTTGAGGATTTTAGAAGGAACGTCGCTGAGGATATTACAACTGGGGGAGCTAAGGTGAATTCGGGTGATTGTCCCGGCAACGTACAGAAGACGGATTGTTTGAAAGAACCCTTGACTAGCGTTGTAGGTATAAATATTCTTGCGAATGGTGAAGGCAAATCTGGGGATTCTGTTGAGCTAGCTGCACCTGTAAGTGGAGATGCTGAAGATCAGGAGAGGCACAGGGAGAATCTTACGCTGCAAAAAAATGCTAGGTCCAAACACAAGCCGAAAAGTCGTAGGCAATCAAAACATGTACCCAAAGAATCAAAAGACCTCAAAACCACTGAAATGAGTTGCAGAGCAAAGGAAGCTGGTTCCAGTCTCCCGTTGAAGCAAATCCAGTCTGCTGTCGAAGAAGTGGTTGGACCAAGCACAGCAGGTGCTGATCAGAACTTGCATAACCAAAACGTTTCCTCGAAAAGCTTCGCAGATGCAGAGATTCAAGCATTGAGGACACTAGTTTTAAGTGTGTCAGATATGATCATGGGCAAAACAGACAGAGATGCAGATACGAGTACAGATCCTCAAGGACAGAACCACCAACCACGTGCAGAACCAATAGCTCGAGTTTTCGCATCTTTAGACCCTCCATCGCTACAGCGGATATTGCTTGTGATGTCAGTGGATTATCCGAGGACTTTTGAAGCACTGATTCTGCACAATTTGTCTCCACTCGCTGCCGAAATCCTGACCCGAAAATTCGAGGCGATGGATGCTGAGGCTGAGCTAGATTGGCCTCAAGAGGAATTCTATGCACAAATATACAGCGTGTTCGACAATCCTGGTGTGGCCATGGCGACATTGGTAGATAGAAAAGAGTCCTTCGCAGCCATGGCACTGAAGCGAGTAATGGATGGTAACTTTGGTATCCAGGTTGATACAGGGCGTCGTTGAGGTGGTGGTTTTGTGTGAAGTATGCACTGTTTATTTTGTGTGGTTGGCAGACTTGGGAAAGGGCGGAATGTTTATGACAGACGTATGTGTCATCTACCGCCAACTGCGGCTGGAAGTTGGACACACCTCGTTCATGTTGAATCCGACAGAGGAGGTTTCGTTGATGAGGTATGCAGAGTTGTTTATCATGCTGTGAAGAACACGCCGATAAGGTCATGAAGAATGCAAGGTTCTGATTTGTGGGCTGTGGTGTTTGCATGTGGCTCAAGGATGGAGGTCGTTTTGACCCATCCTGAAAGTTCCGAAACCAAGACATCATCATCAAAAGCTGGAGCAATTGTAGTTTAACGTGATTGTACGTCACTGTGGCAGTGCAATCGCAGTGACGAGTTCCGGGTACTCAGATGTAATAGCTTGCTGTCTCTGCGTTGTATTGTGTGTGTGTATGAGCTGGATGACCCCCAGAGGAGTGTGCGTGGTGTGAGGAGTTGCGTCTTGGTTCGACATTGAAGAGTGACGGTTTTGTCAAGTGTGATGTCCATGATATTCGACGTTGGTAGGCGATGAATCTGTCGGACATTGGCAGTGGGGCTGAGATTGCAGGTAGATTAGTATGACCAAGAATGAAGTCATGAGGAGAAATTACCAGACTGTTCTGCAAAACTGGAACCAGTTTGTACTCTGTGAAGCTCCTTTGGTGACAACATAGGATGGGGAACTATCTGCGGGAGTCGGTTTATGGACGTGCGGAATGTGGTAGGGATGGTAGAGCATTCGCCCACCAAGAGGAAGTGCTTGTAACTTCACGAGAGCAATGTCATTGAGCACTGCTGCAAGTCGCACGAATGTTGGAGAGTGGAGCTGAATTCTGGAGTGGCAGTGGCGCTTGGTATGGGGCAGAGTTCATGAACAGAGTACAGAGGCAGCATGGTGGATGGGATGGGGTGGAGGGAATAGAATGATGTGTAGAATGCAGACTTATGGATTGAAATGACGAAATGAGAAGCTATGACAGCAAGTTGTGATATACAAAAGAATTGCTAAGAGGTGAAGGAGAGGATGGGGAAGAGAGGTGATGTACTGCGATGCGGTGAGTATCAGTATCAGGGACACAACCAGGTTTTGGGAGACCGGATTAAGAGGTGTAGTCGTGCACGGCCTGATTTGCGGTAGAAAAGTCTAAGTTTTTACCAGTCAGGATCATAGAGGGTTTGGTTGAGGGATAGGTGGGTATGGTCTTTGCCTTTGGAAAGTAGGGAGGGGGCTTAATTTGGAATCACGGCGGATATAGGAACAAACGAAGATGCTGCGAAGCAAAGGAATGCAAATTTAATTGTGTCATTTTTTAACTTTTGCTGCTGAGATCCGATGTTGACGAGCCGGATTGAACCCACTTGTGAACTTTGATGTAACTTATAACTTAAATGTGAGACGTTATTAATGCATTGCAACCTACATTAATCAAACCTTTTACAACGTATTTAGAATTACTACAATTTTTTTATTTTTATCATCGATTGGTACTTCGATTGCAGGCAACATTTTCAGTTAGCACTTCATAATGTGATGATGAATGGCAAGTGGAGGATTCTACACACCAAAATTTCTACTCAATGTAACAATAGCTTATATTTGGACTCTTTGTTTATTTGACATACTAAGAAGTATCACAATTGATCTTCAATTCTTTTACTTCTATGTGATCAATCACATTGTATTTCATTCTCTAGTTACTTGAAAACCAAATCATCTTTTTTTTACAACACAATTACACAACACTTATTTATTCAAAAGAATAATCTATTAACCACAATGCAATTAAATGAGTCAACAAAACAAGTTCATTAGAAATGTAAAACTCTTTACATATACCAAGAATACAATCACTTAAATCGGCAATAACATGTGGTGTTGTTTTCTAACTAACATTCTTAATTTGGAAAAGTTATTACAAATAATAAAAGAAAGAAGAAAGAATGAACTGATGGACCGTACACTTTGCCTAAGAATAGTTCAATTTATTTTATAGTTATGGCCTTTCTAAAATATCAACAGACGCACAAGTTGTCACATCATTGTTTCAAGCTTGTGGTCCCTTAGAAAATCTTTTGGATAAACAGAGTAATAGAGCTTTTCAAATTTGTGTTTTTAAGCACACCCATCTTACTATCTGTATACACAACTTATAAATTTAGCAGTGAAGTTTATTCGTGAATCTAAAGCAGGGCACTAGAGAGTCCCCTCTTAAATGCCGCACTTTGTGCTAAATCAAAAAAATTAATTAGTATAATCATATGGTTATACTTTTTAAGATTTAAAAAAATAAAATAAAATAAATTATATAGGTATTTTTAATATTTTTAGAGGAATGTTGAATAGACCCATATGTTCACTAAATAGATCTATTTTTAATGATGAGTATGGTAATTATGATGAATGTGGTTGGTTTCTATTGGTTGCAAATCCAATAATAAAATAAATTTAGAAACTTTTTTATTTTTTCATGATGGTTAACATGGATGGATCGATTTAGTATAAAATTTGACCTATTGAACATTTTCTTTTTTTTATAATCTTTATATAATCTATTTCTGTAAATCTTAGTTATGTAGTTTTTATTGTGATTTATTATTATAAAATTATATATTAATAATTTATTTAACACAATACAATACTCTTGAAGTAAAGCAAAAACATTCAATATAAGCATTTGCATGTGTCTATATAATGTTGCTATTGCCACTATAATTTTGCTGCTATTATTACAACTTGCCACCAACCACAATTTTTATTAATACCACCACAAGTTTCCGTAAATTCTAAAAATCTTCTTGTTAAAAAATATTATTTATAAGCCCCGACCTTGGACCTTGCTCTTGTGCCAAACAATTGCTCCAAGAGCAAAACGGCTAATAAAAATCAAATGAGCAAGTTAACTCTCTTTTTTGCTCTTCAATATCAAAGTCTTCTTGCTAATCTTTGGTTAAATAATTTCCTTGGTTGATATCTCCTCATTAATGCTTAAAACCTCTAATTCATAAAGTTTTGTAGTAACACAAATACAACCTCTAATTTCCAACTCTTCTATGTACTAACATCCTCTCGTTGCATTTCTCTTTTTCCCCTCACTCCATTCTAGTTCCATCAAGTATTAATTGATGAGCTTTACAATACAAGCTTGTAGCTAATTTAGGTCTACATATTCAATAATAACATTACAAACACCAAATCTAGTGGCATAGATGTTGCAGAGGTAGTAATTGTGTATTTGCTTAAAGAATCTGTCATTTAGAAAACACAAAATCCTTAGAATATAAGTGAAGATTGCACAAAGATCCAAAACTTCACATAGACTATTATCAATTAAAAAATATACTAGGATAATTCAAACTTTGAGAGATGCCTAACATTGAAGTTGTAACATGACAAGTTGTGGTGGCACTAACAAAATTGTGGTGGCACTAATAACTTTCTAGATATATATAATATAAGTAATTTCAAAAATAAACATTAGAAAGTTAGATAAGTCTTTCTAATGAATCAGACACTACTTGCACACTAAATATAGTTTTTATAGAATTAAATTAGAGAGTGTATGCACTTAATGGATACTTTGTATGTATAAGAATATAAAATAAATAAATAAATCTTCTATGAAAAAGAAAAAGAAAATCTTGAATAAAGATAGAGTTTTTACATACCTAAAGAAAAAGCTAACTAAGAGATATGTATGATATAGGAGGTGATTATATATTCTAGATGCATTAGAGTTATTTTTCCAAAGGATAGTAAATATATATATATATATATATATATATATATCTAGTAATATGGTGTATTTTTTAAATCATATAATGAATATAAAAAAACACAAGTATAATTTGAAAGAAATTTAAAGAATTATTGTCTAGTTTTTTACAATTTTTTTTTTTTTTTTTTTTTTTTTTTTTATACATAATAAAAACAAACTGAGAAGGAACTCACTTAAATAATCTTATCTAATTTAAATTGGTTTTTAAGAAAATCCTTGCATAAAAGTAAAGATCCAAAAGTTTATTATAAGGTGCACAAATTTTGTTAAATATTTTTAGCACACTTCAAATTTTAATTGTATTTAAAAAAAATAAAATAATTATATAAATAAATTGTAGAACAAATTATGTAGAAAATACCAAAATTTTCAAATTTTCTAAATAAAAAATAAGATAATTATTTTACTATTTTATTTCTATTGAAATAATAAAATTTATAATAGAAATAAAATAAGAATAAAATTCTATTTTAGAAACACTATTTTTCCAAAGATAGTGTTGTATTGAGCTCAAAAAAGTTGACATGCTAAAATATGATTAAATTACATACTTCTTGTATTTTTGAAGGTTAAATTTTTATGACTTATTAGAAAAAATACATTAATTCATGCATGCATGTAATTTTTTGAAATTGTATTTAATAATATTTTTTTGAATTATCAGTTTTAATTATTTCAAGATTTTCATGTTCGAAATGATATTATATGATCATACTTTTTGTGAATATATTTGTTGAAATTTTATTTTTATTTTAATTTTTTTCCTAATGATTTGTACAATTCAGATTTTGTTTTTTAAGATTAATTTTATTTTTGAAATACTCAATGTGTAGTAAATATACCTTGTGGAATATTTGGTGATCCTCTGACCTGTACTCAAGATCAATTCAAAGATTCATGTCACACTTAGATTTTTCTTTTTCGTTATCGTTTTTTTGTTCCCCTATAATTGAAGAGAAAAAATTATTGAAGTAATATCTCAATTATTTTAATTGAATTTGAATATCATTTCTGTGAGATATTTTCAAGCCACCAAATTCTTTACTATTGAAAATAAAATTATATATATATATATATAGATAAACTTCTAAAAAAATTGAAAACATTTAGTGCACAAATTTTAGTAAAGTAATGCTAAATAGCAACTACACAATTAGCCAAGTAGTGTGTTTTAAAATCACATGATAATAATTTTAAAATATATTTTTTTATTGATACATACGTAGAGCAATAGCTTGATACAGTTCTCTTTATATATGATATAAAATAAATAAATAAATAAATAATTCTGAAGATTATCTTATCAAAATATAAAAAAACAGATATATATATATATATATATATATATATATAAAGTCTTAGAACACCTCAAATTAAAATATCAAGAATCTTATTTTTACGTTTAAACTTTCACTTATTAGACTTCAATTCATGATAACATTAATAATAATGAATACTAAAAATCAGAATAGCAATGCTTCTTTCAAACTCCATGTGAAGAAGTTAAATTTGTACTTTACAAGCATTGTTGAAATACAACATACCACCTGGAAGTGATAGTTTTTATAAGTAATATTTATACATGAAAATGGAGGAGAGAGAAAAATAAATATGAATTGAAAAATATTTTGCACAATACTTTTTAATATACAACAATTCTTTTATATATCTTAAAATTATATTCTCTTAACTTAAACTTTTTCCATTATTATTAATTTTAATCTGAATTTTCATCTATGATAAATATAAATATGAAGCATATCACTTAAAATAATAATGACAATAGTAAATTAATCTCCATTTTAGAGGTTCTATTTTAAAACTCAATCATTAAATTATTTCCTTTTCTTTCTTTCTGAAATTTTCGATAGATAAGGAAATTGCATTATATCAAATTTGAAGTTGTGATACTCCATTTCTTTTAGCTTTTCAGTTTTATAAATATGAACGAATTTTTTCATTATTCTGCCTTTTTTTTTTTTTTAATATAAATAAAAAATAAACATTTCAAAATGCTCTTATGGTTAAGTTTTGCAATTACTTTGCGACTTTTACCAATTTTTTGAAAATTTGAAAATTAACTTTTAAATTTGATGTTTTTTTAGTCTTTTAAACATGTTAATCCGATTAACTCTATGAATGATTTATTGTACCAATGTATGCAGAAACCAACAATTTAACAATAAAGCAACATGTAGGATACAACTACTTTAGTATTCTTACTTAACACTCAAAGATATACTTTTGTTCTTTAGATGTAACCAATAATGTCAATATTTTTTTTAGAGAAGTATTGATTTTATTGGTTACATCTAAAGAACAAAAGTATATATACATATATATAGATAGATATATATATATATATATATATATATATAAAGTAAAATTAAAATTAAAAAACTAAAAAATTTATAAAGTAAAAATAATTATAAGAACTGACAAGTCTATTTTAAAATTTTATTTTTCTAAATTTTATAAAAGCATGCTGGGATCTAATAGATTTTATATCAAAAATTTATGTCCAAGTTTGTGTGGCTTATTAGTGTATATGGAAAAAATTAATAAATTATACAAATTTAAACTTCTAAATAATAAATAATAAAAATTATATATTAAAATATTATTAAGTTAATTTTTTAAAAAAAAATTACATCAAAGTCAGATTAAATAATGTAGAAATCACTCAAATTTATAAATTCTTATAAATGATTTTACATCCACTTTTTATAAAATGTTACATGTTGAGATTTAAGATTAGAATTTCACCATGAATTAACTAGTGTTGGTAGGATTTAATTTAGGATTTTATTAAGATTTTATTAGGATTCTTGGTTAGTTACCAAATACAACATTATCTTACAAACTCAAGTGCTTTGTTCATTCCCAAATAAGACAATATGTAATACAACATTATTGTGACTACTCATCCACTTTCTTGTCAACTTTTAGTCTTGTTGCAACTCCTAGTTATGTAGCAAGTTTTCAACCTACTTTCATAATCTTATGACAACTACAAATGCCATTACAACCTCTTGTATTATTCTAGTGGCAATTCCAAATCCTATCACAAGTCTTTGATCTCCTATTCCACTCCCTTGGCAACTCCAAGTTCTATTAATTCTAAGAGATGTCAATTAAATTAAGCTTTTCATATTACATACAGTATCTAATTATAACTCTCTTTAGTAACCTTGGACTTAGTGTAACTTGGAATTTGATTATAGATAGACCACCTTATTTTAAATTATATTTTGGTTTATACTTTAACTTTTATAATATGCTTATGCAAAATAATTTACAAAATGTAATACATATAATATTTGATGTTACTATGATGTTATCAAGAAATATATGTTTTTTTATAAGCAATTATTCAAACAATAATATCATTTCTAAAGACATGTTTTTAAGTATATTGCTATTGCCTCCATAGATTTTGCTATTGCTTCTACAATGTTTTCTATTACCGCCACAACCTTCCATCCTTCATATGCCACCTTTATTCAAAACATGTCAAAATTCTAAATCAAAAAAAAAAAAAAAAAATAGCAACATCAAAATCAAACAAACCCCTCCCCACATTCTTGATTGATTTGTAATGGGTCTCACGTTTTTCGCAACAGTGGTTTTTTTACATTTTGATCAATTCCGAGGTTTAATCTATCTTGTGCTTGAAAGCGGGTTTCAACTATATCAGAGGAATAGATCTACTAAGCGGTCATTGCTTTGAAGCAAGCTCCGAACATCCACTTGCAGTAGAACAGGAATACTATGGACGTGGTCGCATTCAGCTTTTATGCTGTGTGGTAATGCACCCTCAAAAGTTGTCGTGTCAGGTTTGAAGGAAATACCACTGCCTCACCTATGCACTGACAGTAAGATTCTATACTGCTGGATGACCAGGATCTGCAACTACGACGGGATTGGTAAGGGTCTGAGACTGAACTTCCTTAATAACCCGGATCAAGTTGTGAAGTGGAGAATTGGGCGAATTCTTACGAGAGTCTGCCAGTCATTTGGCCACAACCGAAGCAACAACTTTGGATGCTGATATATCCACCACCATCATGATCCATCATTCTTACACTCATTACAGAATGCCGGTTGAAGATGGAATATTGTTTTATTATCTAAAACGACTACCTCATGGTCTGGCGTCTTGCGGCTTTTAAACGATTTTTGAGTGTGACACTGACGAAATTTGGGTTGACGAGTTGGTTTTCTTCAACGCAGGGCTCCTGCAGGTGGATCATGTTCACAACCGAAATTCTCATGAACTGAAAGCAAAATCCTCATCACATCTTGTTGAGCATTTTGAATCACAAGCAGTGTCTTCAGTTTCTATTTTAGTAAATTCGTTTACGATTAAATGAAGATTTTTGGTATTATTTGCAAAATTTCAACCGAAGATGAACTCAAAGTAAGAACAGAAAGCGAACCACGGATACGGTGGATAGGAAGACAACGGTAATGTATCCCTGCATCCTTGAAGCAATCGTCATACACGCAGCATACAAATCAAAGCATTTATTATGAATCGTATCTTCCATTTTCACATTACTCATCACTTTATTCATAAACTGTAATAGCACTACAGATCAATCGTATGTCTGACTCTTTAAGTTTGTTCCAAAAAAGCAAAGATGCCTTTTCAGATCAGAGACTGCCTCTCTTATCTAATCCTCATCCCAAAACCTTAGATATTCATAAGCCAGAATGTGGCAATGTACCTACAAATAATGACAGCAACTCTCAGTGCCTTGGAATCATCCACACAACAATTCGCATTCAATGAACACAAAAGCTAACAAACACATCTGCTGAAGACTAGAATTGCAAATGTATAAGTGCAAACAAAAATTTGCTCTAAGAAAATGACTTCTCTACATGATCTCCGCTTCTACAAATTCGAATTGCTGTAACTTCATATTCCCTGACGACTGTTTCATCAAAAGACGAGCGATCAATTCTAGCGGTCACACTCGGCCTGGTTAAGAACTGCGTCAATACTTACCAACGTGAACCAAGGAGTTCGCAACATGATGTATGCAACGCTCTAGATCCAGCAAGTTACAGCAATGAGAGCAGATGTTTAAATGACAGAAAATCTCCTGCACTATCAGAGTAGTCGAAGTTAATGGAGTGGAGATGATGAAAGAGCAAGTCTGAACATTCTGAAAACACCTGCTGTTATAGAAGGCTTTGAGTTCGACCTCGAGCCGAAGCACTTCCTAACCACACCCATGTCAGAAAATAGTTGAGAAGATGACTTTGATGCTAGCAAAGAATGCTACGTTGAAGAAGGGTAGCATGAGGTTTTTTATTTTTGTTCCTAGAAGTAAACCAATCGTCCCTAGCGTCTGAATTTAGATGTAGGTTCTCTTTATTTGTTCAGATCCTTACTGCAAGTTGCAATAAGAATTAACCGTTTGGTACATCTGAAATTACCTAATGAAAAAAGGAAAGATAAAATAATTATGTCAATCTAAGTGATGTAATTTAAGTGTCAATCTAAGTTATGTAATTTAAGTGTCAATCTGCGCCCAAATTAGAGGATTTTGCAACCGGAGCCGCACTTGCCAAAGCTTCTGAAATTGCCTGTACTCTACAATACTGATTTTAGAAAAGCGAGAAATGAAAATTCATGTACAATCTATTTTTGGAAAAAGCAGTGGATCAAAACCTCAATATGGGAAGAACATGAGCCACTGTCTAGGACTCACCACTCCAGCTGCTGCCTCAGATTTGCGCTTAACGAACATGCCTGGCAGTTCATGGTCCAAAATTTCGTTGGCCCAAGTGTAGTCAATGGGAACCTGCAAAAGACAAACGTATTGATTCAAACCAAAGTTATCACACATAAGATTACAGAGGCAACGAAGTCTCTTTCAAAATTTGATCATCAGTTTTAAAAAGTTGAGAAAATTTTGAGTAATGAAAAGTGTTAGAGAGCTTTAACCTCACCTCAACAAGTTTTACTCCATCTTTGCTAGTATAGAAGCACTCGTGAAGAATATCTGAAAACTCATCTGCCCTTGTCACTCGATAACCCTTCACATGATAACTAGCACAGTACAAACAAGAACTCTATCATTTAAATATAAAAAAAATGAATGAATTCACATATGCTACTCTTTAGCCACATTAAAAGGGACTCCTAAAGAACAAAAAGATTTTTTGGCCTAAATAAATAAAACTATCCTCACAATAATCTAGATTCATATACATTTCAGAAAAAAAATTTAGTGTTTGTGTCGAAACCATGTTCAATTTCATTATATGAAGACGGCCAACCATAACTCACCTGTTTGCAAATGCAATGAAGTCCGGATTTCCTAAATTCAAACCGAACCTGCAAACACTATATATGAGCACATATAGAAGGTCCTAATATATATCCTATTCTTCTCACATCCTTGTTAAGTTTGATAAATGAAGGTTGCATATAAAGTTTACAACTATTAGAATATCTATGCAAAATTAGATGGCTACATACTCCTCAAATCCTGCAAGGTTTTGCTTCCATTTAATCATGCCATAACCATTATCATTAAGAACTATAACTGTCAAGTTTAATTTTAACCGAACGCATGTTTCCAGCTCCTGCAAAAGACATAAGACTAGGTCAAATATTGCAAGATGTTCTTTGGATTCATATGTGGAGTTTCTTGAAGAGACAAAAACCCACCTAAAAAACCAAATGATTGAAAGAAAGATAATGGTATTAATTTTTTACGTTGTCTGAGAGTAAGTGAGAATACTAACAATGTGAAGCAGCTCAGTAGGAACAACTAATTGTTAGAATTATACATGCATCTTAAATAAAGACCTGATTATGTTAAAGAAGTAGAACTATTGTCTGCGCAAAATTTCGACTCGAAGAGCCCAAATAATCTAAACTTCCATAAATCACCAGTACAGAAATGAAGAATTTACTTGTGAATTCATCAAGAAACCCCCATCACCACAAACAGCAACAACCTTCTTCTCTGGGTGAAGCAATGCTGCTGCCATAGCTGATGGTAGTCCTGCACCCATTGTTGCTAGTGCATTGTCTAATAGCAACGTGTTTGGCTCATAGGCCTGCATTTACAGAAATGCCAATTATTAAAAACATCTTGGACAAAAGTATTTTAATTAAACTTTACAAACAGAATTATTGATCTATTTACAACTCTTCAAACAGAGTAGAATAGAATTCAAAAGGTTCATACATACTCTCACGTGGATAGGAAATCTAGAGAGGTGTAAAGATGGAAAGTAAAGAGGATACTAATTGACAAGGACTACACCCAATTACAAAGATAGAACTGCTCCATGTACGTTTAACTTAAGAAAAATCATGAGGCAAGAATGATCACTACCTTGTAACACCTTGCAAACCAAATTTTAAACATACCTGTTACAATTTGAAGATTTGAGTTCATCAATTATTTGTGGTGATGTTATCGCTTTTAAGAATCAAACATGTTTAAACAATATCAAACAACTTAGAAGTTAATTAAGTATTGCTTGATCTAAATGCACCCTTTCACACACCATTGTCCAGGCACACTATGCCATCATTTGGAACTTGTCTTCTGTAGACAAAAGGTCGTCATTAGCTTTCCAAGATATTCAGTTATTACAGAAATATTAGATATCTTTCTTGAAAATTCAATGATGAATAATACTAACATGTTCAGGAACACATAACAAGTTCAAATAACCTGAAAATATTTTTGTATACTCACCGCAAATCCGCAATCACTCGTTGTGGCACAAGAGGGAAGCGAGGATCGGTAACACCCTTAGTCAAGTGTTTATCCAAATCTTTCTTTACCTGCCAATATCCCAAATTTCTTACCATTAGTAATTGTTACATCAGCACTGGTTTGTCTAGCAAATTGAACCCTCAATTTCTTGAAACTGAACATTTGCAATTAGCAAAAAACAAAAAATTCCAGGATTAGGTCAACTATGCCTTCATCACAAAGTCAATGTCCCAAGTCGGTTGATTCTTCAAGCATTCTTTCAATTGCCAAATTGTATTGGCTATGTCACCTACAACTTCCAACTACAAAAGCATAATCAATAAGTTCAAAACTCATAAATATTAAAAAGTAGAATAGCGCAATACTCCAAGCATAAATAATGGATCAACACCTCCTACACTTCATCAGTATCAAAAACATAAAAAGTACAAAAACATATTGAATGAAGTCAAGGTTGTCCAACCTGTGGAAAATAAACATTATCCACTTTTGCAGAGTAAAAGTTGATGTGAATAACCACAGGCGGTTCTCCAAATCTGCCACAAAACTCATGTGGCAATCAAACAAGATATTGAAGAAAAGTCTCAAGGGTTAAAAGTGGTCAGATTCGGCAATGTTCACGAGTTCCCTGCGGATTAAAGCACTGGTTGCTATAAGATATCTATTTTCACACTAGATAAAATATAATGAGACATACATACTTCATTATGAAAGGAGGCTTCTCAACCACATCATGTCCAACGTTGATGATTAAATCAGCTTTCTCAATACACACATGCACAAAATCCTTTGCTGATAGTGCACAACACCCTAAATATAAAGGATGCTCCTCTACAAAAAATAGCGGTTCACCAATTCAGGTAAATTTAAATATCAATTGAACAAACTTCCAACCACATCCACAAAGAGGTGACCTTGAGGAATAAAATAGTATAGTTTGTACAAAAAGTTTGATGCAAAAGAACACATTTTATTCAGAAAATACCAGTCACGACACCCTTGCCCATTTGAGTCGTTACAAAAGGAATGTGCACCGTATCTACAAACTCTCTGAGCCTGCCACATCAACCACAGGCATGTTCAATGTAGACTTTACTTTTACACAAGCACCATCACCACTGCTCATATTATAAACTCTCTTTAATAACAAAATTGGTCGTTTGTATGCTTTTAAATTCTTGTTTTTGTTCTTAAAAATACATATATTTGTATTTTTTATCGAATGAGGTGGGACAGGAACAGACCCAGTGCTACGCACATTTTTTGAGTCTTTTTCCTATTTGCTCCTGCTCCTATTAAGAGAAGAGGATGTGAAGCACTGTGAATCATATCAACTGCTTTGTCGATTGCTTTGGCTTCGGCTATCGGCCGTCTGACTGGATAGATAAGAAATGGGTGTGATTCAGTGGTTGTCCCTGCTATGTCTTCGGGCAACTCCAAATGCACAGCTCCTGGTCGCTCTTCTTCTGCAACTCGAATTGCCTCCCTCACTAGTGAAGGTACCAAATCTCCATCCACAACTTGCTTAGTGAACTGTATGCAATAGCACTGTCACTGCTGAGCAACAAAACCCCAACCCACATTGATGCTCTCACTTACTAATTAAAGGTAGAAGGACTAGATTGATTAAACTCATGAAAAGGCTTAACCACATTTTCAAGACGGTAATGCATAGTTTCTCCTGTATCTGCAATGTTTTCAACATACCTTCGTCAATGGACGCATGTGTTCCACAACGTCAACTATTTGAAAGGAGCCCTGCTTACTCTTCCGAATTGGCTTCTGTCCTGTTATCATAAGCTGTTCCAAATTCCAACACACGAAAATTTTCAATCAATTCAAGCTTACAGCACATTTTCATAGATCACGATTGCCAAAACACCACAGTAGAGGTGCCACTCCCAGCTGCAAGAGCCAACACCGACGAAATACCGTAAATATCTATTAACGAAATCTGCACCTCCCCACAGTTTTGTCCAATAGAGCTTAATGTGATCACCATAGGAAATCCAGCCAACTGAGCATACGCAGCTGCTGTAGCAAAATTGGTGGCACCAGGACCTAGAGTAGATAAACAGCAGCCGGCTTTCCCAGTAAGGCGACCCACTGTGGCGGCCATGAAGCCAGCCGCTTGCTCGTGTCGTGTCACCACCATCTTTATACGAGAATTCCTGAATGAGTCCAATAAATCCAGATTCTCCTCTCCTGGTATTCCAAATATGTATCTGCTCATCACAAAATTAGAATAGTTTCCACCACGGAGTTGCCAGGCATCCACAAAAGGTGGCATTCAGTTTTGACAACCACACTGATGGGCCATATTGGTAAACACACATCGACGTTGGTATTCATGCGGTATCAACCAACAATGGACAACCATTCCATGAACACATGACGTTAAACTCAACTAGGTGGCGATGCTTTCGTACAAAATGCAACCTCCAAAGCGGGCTAAAATATAATCAAAATTTCCTGACGGGTCACTCTTCTGTGCGTTTATAAGAATTGTTAACGAAATACAAGAAATATTAAGTTTGTCTGCAGAACATTCTGAAAACTTAAATCAGGTTAAATGTCAAAGGCAGTAGACGTCAGTATTCTGAGCCCCTTTCGTTTCCATATTGCATGCAAATCAAAGAAACTGAATGCATGAGCTTCGAAGAATGATGTCACAAGCAACAAAGTATAAATAAATAAATAAATAAATAAATCCCTAAAAGTAAGAGCTACAGATTAACCCTTCGCACATTCAAATTCTCGCAAACACAAAACAACGCTCACACAAGCATCAGTACCTTGCACGCGGCTCATTTAGCGAAGTGAAATCTACCGTCATTCAAACAATCTGAGAAATAAAAACTGCGATGGAACTAACAAAGGACCAACACAACCTCAATTGTATTGGATTACTCAACATCTCATATACAACACACTCTGAAAATATCACTTACTTAATATTTTCGTTCTCCAATGCCTTCACCATCAGATCGGACGTCTTCATCGCATGAGGCGGTGTAATCCTTTCTCCGATTACAATCCTGGACAAAATAGCAGGAGAGGTTTCGTACTCAGGATCACTTCCAACGCTCGTGCAGTTTGGTCAGAGAAAGGATCCACTATGGCATCACCGCGCAAAGGAATAACTACACACGCTACCGTTAAAGTAATTCGGGAACGTTACTAAAGTTCTCACCACTTAATGCAGACACATAGGAGACTGTACTCATGGATTCAAGACCGGTGACCCAATTCAAGCTCACTTTAAAATGGCATACCTAACGAATACATAACACGAGGAATTCTGAATGACTGTCGCAATGCGCATTCAGATTTAAACTCATACTGGAACATGAAATCGTAGTGAATGATGCGTAGAATGCAAAGTCATGGATTGAAATGACGAAATGGTGGGAAGCTATGACAGCAAGTTGAACACATTCTTGCTATGAACGTGTTCAGAGCAGGACACGAGATGAATGACTTCGTTCATTCGGAATCTGATCGCTATGGTTTGAAGTAACTGTACAACTTGTGTCAACATTTCAGCCTTTCTACAAAGTTCTAGAACTGGATTTTTTGACTTTGTAGAAATTTAATTCTAGAACAGCTTGGAATTTTTCAGATTTTAAATTTTAATTTTTTTTGTTTTGTTTTAAAAAAAAAAAGTATGATACATAAGTAAAGTTGGAGATGTCAAGTGATTTTGTGTTAGAAATGCTGTTGTAGAATACAAAAGCGTCATTTTCACAAGTTCGGAGTTCAATGCAAATAATTGAATGATCACAAAGTCCTAGTGCACAGGGAATAATTATTGCGAGATTTATTAAATAAAAAATGAAAAAAAAAATCAGAATTGAAATCAAAAACCATGTACTAAGTTTGAAAATAACATGAACAAAATTAAGGAGATCCTTATTTTAAAATTTCTGTAACTTTTTATAGAATGATATAATTACTTATAATTTTAAGTACCACTTATTTCTTTATATACATAAAAAAATGTAAAAAAGTAAAAAGAAAAGTTTAATATTTTGTGATTAGTGAATGCGATAATTTTTCAAAAGTGTTTTTTAATATTATTTAACTATATACGACACTGGAAGCATCACTATTAAATTCCCCGAGATCATCGAATAATTACTTTTGGAAATAGTCATGCATGTGGAAAACCAATTGCAAAAAACAGAAATTAAACGCCGAGTCTTTCCTCATATAATACCCTTGGTGAGTATATTACAGATACGAACATCCTTGCAGCCTGTTATCGGCAGAAGTCGCAACAATGAAGTACATTATGCGGCATTCTGAGAGCCCTCAGCAGTTCTGTGGTGTTAGAGTGGCACCAACAACTCTGAAGAAGCTGATCACTTCCTGCCTTGTGTGGAAAAGGTTGTGAAGCTCCAGACATGGTTGACGATAATTGAGGAAACTTTCGATGCAATCAGCTATGGAGTCGTGTGAGTTGGATTTGGACAAAGTGTTTGAGGTCAGCCGCTTCGACTACAGTCAATGGATGGAGCGATCAGCAGCTGACGATGGATCCGCTTCCTTCAACATGCTTATGTCCACCTACGACATCTTTTATCGGCATCGAAATGCCACTTCTGAAGACACAGGCTGCATAGGGACGATTTTTAGTGATACAAGATCGTTCAGTAGCGGCTATGATAAGATCAATAGTACAGCCATCGTAGTTCCGAGATTTTTGCATCATGTATTCGACAATGTCCATGGCCAGAATTACAATACGGTAGACGCACACAGCCTGGCCGCACAAACTGCTAGAGTCACGTTGTATGATGACCGTGAAGAGGAGCTTGCTAATGTTATCGAAGAGGAGACAACTGTTAACGAATCCCATGAGAACAATTGCGAAAATGACGGGGATATGGCTGATAACTACACAGTTGAAGGCGGTAAGGCGAGAAATTAGAAATCTCAGTCTGTGCCAAGTGCTATTAGTCTCCTTCGAGAATTGCATACATTCATGTATATCTTGTTTAAGCTGGGCCTTACAGCAAACTGACGCGATCTTGCTCATGTGGACATTCAGCCAGTGGGCAAACGAAGCCTAAGAGGAGAGGCGGACGTCGGCATAAAAGTCACTTCATGAAAAAACCAATGGCTCTGTCGGAGGTTATTTTAGAGCTGTTAGACAACGAAAGGCGCGAAAATGCATTACGGTGCTTAAGTGGACATCTTATCGAGGTTTGCACCTGTTTATTGGTCGCACATATGTTTTAAGATTGATGAAATTTTACAAGGCAGTGCTTCATGTGTGGATGTGCTCCTGAAATCGTTATCCACGCTCGCTTTCGAACGCCTCCAATCCTGATGCTGAGCATTTTTTCATACGCAATCAATACAAATTTAGAAACAAGAAAGAGGAATTTTAAAGAATTCAATATGCCTAGTGTTTCTATTGTCACGCAGTTGCTATACCGACAAGCAGCGTAAATCATTATGATTCTAAGATTTTAACTAAGATCTCCTCATATCCTTGAATGAAAAAAAGCAATGTCGACCCGTCTGACTCTGATTGGAATTGTCAAGAGACCAAGTGCACGTTCTCCCCTTAGAGCACTTCATCTTCTTTTTCCCAGAGGAGAGAGTCGGACGTTGGCTTCTACCGCAGTGCCGCTTATCAGCTCTACTACTCCTGCAGCACTATTGCAATCCTGGTTCAGGTGCGCAGATATCCTCTCAGCAGTAGAAAGAGCGTTGAAATCTGACATTACACATTGACAACAGAGAATTCACATCGTGCGGATTAGCAGGAAGTAATCACAGTCTACGGGAGAATCTATGCCGGCGACCTCACTGTGAGAGGATCTAAGCGCCTCGCAAACGTCTTAACATGTTTCCAGGTGATATCTTAGTCACCTCCAGTGGCCACCTTCAATCTTGGACAGGCCTCATGAAGTTGTCTTTGCTGCTTGAGACGGATTGAGGATCTATTGCAAATTCGACCATATGTTCACATAATTAATCCTAATTATCACCATCCTAATCTTCATGTGATTTCGTTCGAGGAAGACGAGAAGTTTCATTCTTGTACGGTAATATCTACACCTCTGAAGCATGCTTGTCTTGTATTGACCAAGAACAGTGTATAGCTTCCAGTGAGGAGACTCGTATTCCATTTGTGCGAGGTAGTATTCAAACATTTTTCAGACGGAATATGCAATCATTCTGGTGCACCCTTGTGTAAGATAGTATTTACAGCAAAACAAACATATCTTGTCATGTTCATAAACACCTCCTAGGTTTTGGGGCATGGATGACTCTGGCATGATTAAATTCAGAGGGTGTGATATTTTTTTATGTACAGCTCTTACGAATTGTGCGCACATTTAAGTTCTCTAAAATCCTGGACTCTTTCACGTCCATTAAAAGTTCAGCAGCTGACTGAATTTCTTTGAAACAGCAAGAATTCCAAACCTCTTGTATCCATTTATCCTCTCAGCGTTCACGGAGGAGGTGTACGAGAATGTTCGAGCAATATCATTATCAGTCATCCACCTGATTTGCAAGGTGTAGATTGTGAGAATAAATTTTCTTTTCTAAGCTTGCCTTCTCTCTCGCTCAACAGCGGTCTAAATTTCACAATGAAATGCTGAGTGATATAATTCATGTTACTTTTTAATTTGTAATTAAGCAGGGCTGCGAACGAGAAGCAATACAATGGGCACTTGAATCTGACACTGTTCCAGCCTGCCTCCACGTCATCGAGATTGGGAGTAAACTCTCCAAAGTGGTAAATATATCACATGAACTTCTCATTAAGTACACCTTCCAGTGGTTGCTTACCAGATGTGCTGAGCTTATTAATTGTTCTGCAGATTGCAATGTCCATATTGGAGTCGATTCTTCATGATGATCGGGCGCTTGAAGCTATTTGCGGACTGGAATGCAGCCTTGTTTTGGATGTTTTGAAGATGCTTGCAGATCTGGTGAGGATCGATTGGTGAAGTGCATTTGAAATGATTGGCAAGTGCTGTTTACTTAGTAGAACTTAATCAATAATGTGATGTGTGGTATCATATTAGTTTCGCTTACTACAAAATATTTTCTGAAACTGTCAATGAAGCACGCTGTTCAAACACTCCCTACTCGTTATCTGGTCGTGGCGATGAACTTAATGTTCACTGTCGATTGAAGGTTGCTATACTGGGAGTGGTTCAAGATTTCTCGACTCGCCTCATCTTCCAAGTAGTTCGCAGTTATACTCTTCTCTGTCAACACCCAAGGTATGTGTTAAAGTAGCTATTATTTGTGATTTACTTTCTGATGTGCAATGGTGTGTTAACGTGCAAAAGTACTGAGGTGCTGTTCACCCCGTTCAGAGCTCTGGAGTTGGTACGAAATCAGCTTCCTCGTCAACTGCAGGACCACACCTTTCATGGACTCAAGAAGGTGCCCCATTTCTTTGATACTAATCACGGAGGACTTATAAATGATTTAGTGTACACAAAACGACGTTTTTTTCGATTTCTTGTCCTGTTCTATGTACCCTACTTAACAATCAAAAGTGAAGCAGATAATCATGCAGAATTTTGTGTTGCGATTCACTCACTCAAATCTACTTTAACGTTACATTCAATGTCTTGTTGATTTCACAACATCTACTGCGTGGTTAGGTGTATCCACTCTTCCGAAGTCTCCAACATCAACTGCTGCTCTGCATTGGGAAAGTCGACACATGGATGCCTCAAACATCACCTGATTCTGAAAAGTTAAGCACTCCAAGCACGGGCACCTCTGGGTATGGCAAGGAAAGTCGATCTTCAGAAAATCGCCTGTGGAAGCAGATTTTCACCCCAAGATCCTCATCTAGGAAACTGTCTCCTCAATCACCAAAGTCGCAGGATTTTGGAAGTCCTCTCCGGCCGCTGGACCTAAACAAAAGAGACTGGTATGGTTTACCTTCCAACTTCGAGTATGTTGAGCTGGCTTTCGGCGGGGACTAGTACTTGGCATATCCTATTGCAATGCACGTTAAGCTCACCATTGTACTCTTCTGCTGCTTTAATAATTCCATATAATGTGGACCTCTACAGAGACAACCCACAATGAATTGAACTGTAATGATGCCCTTGGTTAACAGATGATGGATACACACATTGCATGATATATTTAGACGAGTTTCCAGAAACTCTGCATCCTCATCAGCAATTTTAAATCCACAAGAACTGTTTCACCCAATTATATATTGCAATTGTACTCTGTCACTGACTGCCCTAATGACCGCAGCCAGTTGTAGGAAATGAAACTCCAATGTAACAAATTCGGCCTAAATTCGACCAAGTCAGTTCTCAACGCGTGACAGCATGGTTACCAAATTTATATGTGAAAACACAAAATTTTGAGAAACACTCCGTGCAACTAGCGCAAATGATTCAGATCCCTAAAACGACGTAGTGGAGTCGGTGAGTAGACATTGCTAGATAAGATCCCACCGACTCCTGCACGATCAAAAAGCTATGAAATCAAAGTTGGAAATAATGAGAAACTCTGACAACATAACCGGACATACATACCCACGTCATTGTCGGGAGCGGATGCGGGAATCAGGTATTTAAAGTTTGTGTGCGCTAATGCTCACAGCAGAAATGGCTACAAACAGAAAGCACCCTGATTCCCATGAAACTGCGCACACAGTATGCGTGTCAACAACTCTACCAGCATATGTCACCAATTACAACACCCTTGGTCTGGTATATCACACACAGGCGAAAATCAGATCATCGCTTCACGTTGCCATTTCTTTTTCCTACGGAAAACGTCATTCCCCTCATCACTCCCAATCATGACGTGCAAAGCTGACCCCACAACCTGCTGCTATGAGGCCAGGCAATCACAGTGCACCACCCTATTTCCAACCACCTGCTCCCACTACATCCTCCCACCTCCTCCATTCTCATTCTTCCTCCCTCCTCTCACCAACCTCCATCGCAAGTGTGCAGCAGCCACCGTCTCCTTCTTCTCTTACTGTACACAATTCCCACAAATTCCATTGCACCCGCCACTGTGCCACACATCTACGCTTCGTCGCACCAAAGTACAAGCTGGTGTGCCACGCACACCCGATCGCTTCCCACCTCCCTCCTGTCGCCATCGATCTATCCTACACCGCCTGCTGCACCCCCACCAACAACATCAATTCCGCTCTGCCATGCTCAACTCACAAAACCATGGGGCAACATCCATTTCCACCAGCGACGCGGCGACCTCTCTCGCATTGCGCTCTCTCTATCTCGCTCTCTCTCTCTCTCTCTCTCTCTCTTCGATAGCTAGCCTACATTAGACCTAACCAGGAGGTAGCACACCTCCTCCCTCGCACCCAATCTCACTCCACAACCTCCAATTCGCCTTCCTTCAAATGCACCACGAACTTCCGGCTCTCCTCGCCCGGCGTCATCAGCTGCACCTTAAACGGGAGCGTCGCCGACACCGGCTTGCCCTTGAACGTCGTCACCACCTCCTTCACCTCCCCTTCCAGCCCAACGATGTCCAATTCCGGATGCTTGGGCACATGGTACACCTTCAAAGGTCCAATCACCCGTATCCGCGTCCCCGCCTCCACCTTCCCCGCTCCCTCGCTCGACCTCGATCCCCCCAAGTCCACAGCCATTGCGCACACCACTCGCACTCTCCACCGCTCGTCCGTCCTCGCCACCCTGAATCGGCCCATCGACGCAAGTGTCTCCAAGCGTCCACTGGGCCTCACAGCAGCACCGCGCGACGACACGAGCAGGCGAGCACCGGCAGCGCGGGCGCCATCCGCGACGTGGGTAGGAGCGGAGGAGCAGGGAGCAGGGAGGGCGGTGGGCGCAAGCGTGGTGGGCAGGAGCAGAGCACACGACGCCATGGCTGCAATTCAGCACGCAAGCAAGCAAGCTATCAATCACAGACCAAATTGTGATTGATCGATGGATCTGGATGTGGTCTCACCGCCCGGCCGAGCTTCGATCCGCGCGGCAACGTGATTGTGTCCAGTGCCCATGACTTCGCTGATGAATAGGCCAGACGCAGCCTTGGCACTGCCGCCGACATGAATCGCTTGCACAATTTGGAAGTGATTAAGAGCCCCATTTCTTTGACCTCCTTTTGAATAGTATCATATTTTTTTTTTATTGGCAGGTGGGAACCACAATTGTGTTTAATCCTCCCACTCGTATCAAAGAAAAAGTCATTGAATTTAAAATATTCACATGGAAATAATCAATATTCTTTTGTTCATGAACTTCTTTTTAAATTTGGTTATTGTTGAGAAATTTATCATCATAGATAATTTAAATTTATCATCATAGATTAAATTAATAATATCATCAATATGATATTATTAATTTAATCTACTTTTTTTTACATCTAATTATCTCTACTTATAAATATAATAGTAAACAAGGATAACCATGACATTATTCTTGTTAATCTATCAAAGACAAGAACTTGAAGAATGTAAATGAACAAAACATGTTGCATATCAAAGAAATATGACAAAAAGAAATGAAAAAGTATGTATATTCAAGATGAAACTAAAATTCAATTGCCAAAGACAAGAAGACTAGATACTCTTGAAATTAGAAGCTAAAAGCAAGAGAAGCATTGACAAGAGTAAGAAAGGCCTTACTTTTATCATTTTATATACTATCTAATTAAAGAACTACATAACAACATTCCATAAGCCACATAATACATGTCCAACTTGTAACACATGTATTTAATTGTCACGAACATATATATTTACCCCAATAGTTATTTATATGATTAAATAGAAGTAGATAAATATAGTTTAATTTCATAAAGTCTTCTAGAAAAGCTTCTTAGAAGCTTTATAGACGTTGTTTTGACTTTAGATGTGTTTGTGGGTTAGAAACTTCGCCAACAAATTAACCATGTATTGGTAGCTTGTAGAACAAGTTAATTCCATGTAATAGCTTGTAAAACAAGCTAATTATGTGGTATATATATAGATAACTTGCCTTGCAATTTAAGCCATGTCACTAGCAAAGACAACACATGTTGGAAGTCCTATAGAATATCGCCACATAGCTCCTAGTTAGAGAGTATATATGGAGGCAAGAGTGAAGCCTTCTTCACTCTTATCAATGCCTTTGTAGTCATTAGTCTTGTTTCAAGACTTTCCAATCTTCTTATTTTTGGCAATAGCCATTCTAATTCAATATTATATTATCTTTAAATAACTTTCTAATTCCTTTCAGTGATACAAGAGTGTAATGAAGATATTCTTTCTTCGAGATTCATGTCCGTGACAATTTATCAAGAGTACTAATATACTGTTTTTGTCTTGTTTTAGAAGCGAGTGGATTATCCTACTTCTATTGTATTTTGAAGGTTGCGGACTATCCACCTTTAAACAAAAGAAATATTTTTTAACACTGATATTTTCCATAAAGACAGTGAATTACCCCTCTTAGTGGAAATTTTTATTAGAGGTTGCAGATTACCTTCCTCTAATTTAACTTTTTGAATTTGTTTGAGTTGTCTATGAAAGGAAAATATTTGGATGCTACTTGCACTAAAAGTAAGAATAGATTTGCAACTATTACAAAACTTCATGAGTTTGTCAACACTCTAAGAGTGGAAATCTCATGTATTTTCAATGCTAATCATGGAGGAACTATGTCTATGCCTATTGAAGAATTTCAAAGTTTGTGGCAAGAAGTTGTGCAATTGAAGGAAGCAAGTAGATCAACCTCAAAACCAAATCCAAAGAATTTTGCTTCTACAAATATGATGGGAATAAAGATTAGTATGATGGAGAAGTTTGATGGAACAAAATCAAAATTTTGAGGATTTTTGCAAGAAGTCAAGCTCTATTTAAGATTGCATCATTTCCAATATTCTAATAAATTCAGTCAAGTAGGATTTATAGGTACACTTCTATTAAGAAGTGTTCTTTCTTGGTTCATACTTTTAATAGAAAAAAATTCAATTCCTTTATACTTTGAATTCATTCCTATAAGTGTTTATGGCCACATTTGGAGGAAGTGATTGAGAAAGAATAACAAAGACCAAGCTCTAATTTTTATAGCAAAGATCACAGTCAGCCACTATATATGCTATTGAATTCCAAAACCTTGTTTTTAACGTGGACTTGAATGACAAAACCCTCATAGAATCAATTTTGATATGGATTGAAGGATAATGCCAAAGACTTATTATTGAAAATGCCAAAGACAGAGTCTTTGAAATAATTTATTGCTCAAGCCATTGCATGTAACAATGAATTATTTAAAAGACATGAAGAACAAAGATATGGCTAGAGAAGAACAAATCAAATAATGATGGCAATTTCTAAGTTTTCAGAAACTTATTTATCAAAGACAGAACCAATGCAAGTTGATAAGATATGTTTTAAACCCCTCACAGAGCAAAAAAAGAGTTGACAACATAAAGAGGGCTTATGCTTGTATTGTAGAAAAGGTAACCACATTGCTCAACATTATTCAAAGAAACAATCCAATTACAAAATAAGAAGCATGATTGCCAAAGAAGACAATGTGTCAAAAAATGAGTTGCTCTAGTAATAACAAGAACCATGCGGTTGGAATCATATACAACATCCAATAAAGGTCTTATTTTCTCCTCCGATCCCTCACCTTGTATTATAATAGAAGTCTATTTAAGACCAAAAAATCACAAAGTCTTAGCCTTGTTGGATTCAAGAGCCTCAGCCTGTTTTATAGATGAAGACTTTGTCAAAAAATAAGATATATTCTTAATTATGAAAATTAAAATTATATATATATAGAAGTAATAGATAGATACTCATTGTCTTCTAAAGATATTACACATAAAACTATTTCTATAGAAATAATAACTAGTGGTCACAATAGTTTAGTAATATTTAATGTGATTAAATCTCCTTCTAACTCAATTATTTTAGGATTATTGTGGTTAAAAAGATAAAATCCTCAAATAGACTTGATTTCTCGAAATCTTAATTTTTTCCATAGTATAGCCTAAGGTCTTAGTAGGCAAGTAAAAATCCATACGTTTAGTACATCCAAACCCTTATTCGTAGGTGCAAAAGCTTTCATGCATGCTGCAAATGAAGGGCTATCTTTTGCTATATATGCCATACCCATTGCTGATAGTGAGAAGATATCAAGTGGTATTCCTAGCTAATATTAAGAATTCTACGAAATTTTTGAAAAGAAAAATGTAAGTATTCTTCTAGAGCATCATCCTTATGATTGTATTATTGATTTTCAAGAAAGAATTCAACTACCATTTGAACCAATATATAGCCTATCACAAAATGTGTTAGTTACACTCAAAGAATATATTGATGAGAACTTGGCTGAGAACTTTATATGCTATTCTAAATCTCCAACTAGTGTTCTTATCTTATTTGTGAAGAAAAAAGATGGATCTCTACAAATATGTGTAGATTATTGAGGATTTAACAAGATCATCATTAAAAATATGTATTTTCTACTTTTGATTTCAAGACTTCTTGATCAATTAAATCAAACAAAGATCTATACAAAAAAAAGATCTACAAGGAACATATAATTTGGTCCGCATCAAAGAAGAAGATGAATAAAAGAGTATTTTTTGAACTAAGTATGGATATTTTGAGTATAATATCATACCTTTTGGACTCACAAATGTACTAGCTGCTTTTCAACATGTAATGAATGATGTCTTTTGTGAGTTTCTTGATTATTTTATCATTTATTATTTGAATGATATTTTAATCTATTCTAAGAATATAAAAAAGCATAAAGTTCATGTTTGTCATATGTTACAAAAACTAAGAGATGTAAGATTATATGTGAAGATGAAAAAGTATATATTCTACACTACTCAAGTTGACATTTTTGAGATACATCATTTCCAATGAAGGCCTTATGATAGATCCAAAGAATGTCCAAACTATCATAGATTGGAAGATCTCAAGAGCAATAAGAAATGTGTAATATTTTTTGGACTTTGTTAATTATTATTAAATCTTTATCAAGAACTTTTTTTAAATTATAGCTCCACTTATACATTTGACTTGTAAAGATAAATTTGAGTGGAATAAAGAAGCCATAGCATTATTTATTGCTTTGAAGAAAGAATTTACTTATGAGCCAACTTTATATAGCGTTGACTTTTCTAAAGCATTCTTTATAAAAACAGATGCTTGAGACTTTGCCTTACATGCAACATTGTCACAAATAGAAACAGATGACAAACTCCATCTAGTAGCTTTGTATTCTATGAAATTTTCAGCAATTGAGAATAACTATGATATCTACGACAAAGAACTTCTTGTAATTATGGATTCATTTTAAGAATAGTGTTATTATCTAAAAGATGCTTTAAGTCCAATTATAATATATATAAATCACAAGAACCTTGAGTATTTCATTTTGGCACGTATTTTGAATCATCACCAAGCCCATTGGAGCATGTCATTATTAAGATTTGATTTCAAGATCACATATTGACCTAAAAAACAATAAGGTTTATAAGATACTCTTTTTAGATGCTCTTATCTTATATCAAAAGAAAAAGATGTATCTTTTGATCAACAAAGAATAATCTTCTTAAAGCCAGAGCATTTTCATCTTCTAGCAATGAAATCAACATTGATTATTGATTCAACCTTTGTGAAACAAATTCAATCAAGTATGTCCTTTGATCTTCTTATTCATGATATCAAGAATCTTTCTTTTAAGTCTCATGATGTTTTAAAGTTCAAATTCAAGAACAATCTATTCTATTTTGAAAGACTCCTATATGTTCCAAAAGGAGAAGCATGTTTACAAGTTCATCAAGTACATCACAACTTTCCAAAAACATGACATTTTGGATATAACAAGACTTTAGAACTTATATCTAGAGATTTTTGGTCGCTGCAAATGTAAAAGGTGGTAAAAGACTTTGTCTAGTCATGTGATATTTGTTCAAGATCAAAAACTCCTTGTCATCGATCCTATCAACTTCTCCAACCATTGCCTATACCCAAACAACTATGGTCTTCTATTTCTATAGATTTTAT